GATTTGTAAGTTAGAACTGAGGTCATGATAGTGGCGAAGGGAGGAAGCATTAAAGAATTAGAGGAAAGTTGTTATATGTCTGATTCATCGGTGCTATACTGCACCCTAACTGGCTTGTCTCTTCCTTGTGACCCTTCTGTAAGGGGGTGTCCAGCTGTCTACAGATGGGCTCTGGGTCTCCACTCTGCACGCCCCCCCACCCCTTCACATTGGTATGATTTTGTTCTGGTTGATCTCCCCTTTTGACCCATTTTAAAATTGTTCTAGTTTGTAACATTTTGCTGTCTTTCCATCTGGAATTTCCCCCCTATTTTGTTACCATGGTTAGCTTTTTTTGACTCTGTTTGGTGTTTTTGTATGTCTTCTGGTTTATGAAATCCAGGATGGGTGAGTCTATAAAGACATTAACTGGATAAATGGCTCCTTGGGGATACGACGGCAGGGGAGGTTGGGAGGGGGGATGGGGAGCTAATCACAAGGAATACAGGGAAGAAGAAAATGTTCTAACATGGATTGTGGTGATGATTGTGCAGCACTTCTGCATAGGATTGAACTATTGAATTGTATATTTGGATGATGTCCCAATAGAATTGTGATACAAACAAACAAACCTATTCTGCAAACTGGAACCTGTCCCTATTTTTGCCTCTCCTGATCTTTTCAGACAATTCTGCTAGAGCTGTCAACCATAAAAGGTTTAAAAAAATCCTTGAGGAAATCTATCCCTGCTCCTCAACTAAGTACTAGACTAAGGCGGATTGGTGACGAGGAAGAGCAGGGATACAGGGCCCAGGCCCACTGCTGAGCATGCAAGGGATGTTACCCGGACTCCACTCCACACCAGACCTCTCTATGTCACCAACGGCTGGAGCCCGGGTGGGAAGTGGGGATGTGTGCAGTGGCACTGACTGGTTCTCACCTCTGGGTTTAGGTAGGGGGTGTGGACCACGATCCTCTTGATGTCACCGAGATCGGTGTAGTGCTCCAGCGCCCTCTGCAGGAGGCCGGCCTTTTCACAGAGCTGGGCCACGTGGGCCCGGTCATAATGCGTGAACATCTGATTCCCAAGGATGGTGTCTGCCACCTGTCAAACAGCGGGCTCTGTGAGACAGCCTCCACAGCACCAACCAAGCTCACCGAAGGGCTAAGTGGTGCCTTCTCTGGGCCAGCTCTGAAATCAGGGCTCAGAGAGAAGCAAGGAAATGATTGCCGGAACGAGCTTCACCATGTCTGTGCCCTGCCCACGTTCATGGCTCTGCAGCAGCAGCATCAGGTGCTGGTGGGTCCCCAGCAGGCCCTGGCCGCCTTAAAAATCCCCCAGAGACCCTTCTGTCAGGTGGTGCTGTTCTCCCACCTTGTTTCCAGGACCAGCACGTGTGGCTAACCAGATGGGCCTGGTGAGTGAGGCTGAGGTTGTACCATGAAGAGCTACGACGGGGGTCACGGAAGTCCGTTTGTGGCTGTGGTCTTTTGCAAAGTCACATTCTTACAGGTGTTCCCAGGGGTCAGCTTGAACACTGATTCTATAGCTCACCTCCTTTCTTTCTTTTCTTTTTTTTAAAATCATTTTATTAGGGGCTCATACAACTCTTATCACAATCCATACACACATCAATTGTGTGAAGCACATTTGTATATTCATTGCCCTCATCATTCTCAAAACATCTGCTCTCCACTCAAGCCCCTGGCATCAGCTCATTTCCCCCCCCCCTCCCCGCTCCCCCCTCCTTATGAACCCTTGATAATTTATAAATTATTATTTTGTCATATCTTGCCCTGTCCAATGTCTCCCTTCACCCACTTTTCTGTTGTCCGTCCCCCAGGGAGGAGGTTATATGTAGATCCTTATAATCGGTTCTCCCTTTCCAATCCACCCTCCCGATATCGCCACTCACACCATTGGTCCTGACAGGATCATCCACCCTGGATTCCCTGTGTTTCCAGTTCCTGTTTGTACCAGTGTCCAATCTTCTAGCCATATTTGTAAGGTAGAATTGTAGCCCACCTCCTTTCATGAGTTCATGTCTCAGTAACTGCCACAATCAGATTGGAAAGAAAACCACCAGACCTGTGTTGACTACAGACTTTCCTGCGTGGTCAAAGGTAGAATCGGAGCTGGGGACTGCATTTAAAAAGTAACAAACACTTTGGGGTCAGGAATGTGATGAGGTTTAGAACGATCCTGATGTAAGTGATCTCTGGGCTAAGAGAGTTGGGCCAGCATAGCACCTCTGTGTCCTTGCTCAGGGACCTTGCCCTCTGTATCTAACCAGCAACGAGTCTTGATGGGGTGCGCTCCTGGGATCCTGAGGACCCTCACCAAGGATACCCTCATCCTTTCTGAGATATGGATAGTGACAAGGAAAAAGAAAATGTTCTAAAGCCCAACCAACAGTCCAACCTGCTGCCATCAAGTTGATTTTGACTCACAGCGACTATATAGCAGTGGTTCTCAACCGGACCCCTTGAGTGTCAAATGACCCTTTCACAGGGGTTGCCTAATGCATAACAGTAGCAAAATGACAGTGATGAAGTAGCAATGAAAATAATTGTATGGTTGGGGGGGGGTCACCACCACATGAGGAACTGTATGAAAGGGTAGTGGTATTAGGAAGGCTGAGAACCACTGCTGCATAGGGTTTCTGAGTCTGTAAATCTTTACAGGAACAGATACCTTCATCTTTCTCCTGTGGCTAGTGGGTTTGAACTGCCAACCTTGGGGTTCGCAGTCTGATGTCTACCCAACAGTACTACCTGGGCTCCTAACCAAAAGAAGTACTGGCCAAGTATGTGGGAATCCCAGTTTCCACCGCCTGTCACACTGCCCCTTGACAATGCATACTCTGGTTTCCCAGCCCCATCGAGAGCAGTATTTGATCACAGTTGGCCTTTACCTGGTTCCCCCCGCCCTTTGTTTCCTTTAGAACTGTCTTCCCTATCCACGTGTTCCTAAACATTTCCACTGTATCACAGGAACAGTGTATTTTAGGGAACCTAGGAGACTGCCCACTCTTCCGTCCAGAGAAGATATCAACCCCACGCCCAGCAAATCAGGGCAGTGGGACGGGTGCTGTCGGCTCCTGGTTGAGCTGTTTATACCCTTAGGTTGCCTCCCTGTGGGCTTGCTCTGTCTTACATTATAAACCAATTTTAAAACTGTGAGTTGGCTGAAGGTTTATTGAGCAGATCATCAGTTCTCATTCAACAACTCGGACACGTTGCTTCACCTCATTCATTGAAACCCACTCAACGTAACAGTCCTCATCCCACGTCCTCCCTGCGTTTCCTGGTTTCATTCTCTTTCCTTCCCGACCCTTCTGAACGCTGCCCGTGGGTCTATGCTGCTCTTCGACCTCAGATGGTTGATTACACTGGCCAGCACACTTTGGGGGACCTCAAATGTTAGCCCTCTTTCTGGACATGTTTGACCTGCTGATTCCAAAAATGGCACGTCTCCCCACATGAGCTCTAGTTTTTGAAGATGACGAAGATATGCCATGTGGCACTCCTGAAATGCGGAACAGAAATCAGGATATTTTAATGTAGTGTTTCAATTAATATCTTTTAAGCATGAAGGAACCACATTAAAAATTAAAAGGAAAAAATGGCTACTTATTTCAGACCCCAAACACAGATTTCTGATACAGAGTTCCAGTCTTTCAACAACAGGAAATTAAAACTAGAGTTGATGTGGCCTATCCAATGTAATTTTCTGAATCAGCACCCCAATATCCCCAGGGACAGTCCCAACAACCAAGCCACCAAGGAAACGGTTTTTCTTAGTGCTGGGCTGGGTTATTATAAGATGTGTGTACTTCTTAGTGTTATTGGTTCTCTTGTACATCTGTCTACTGTTTGACGAAAATGGAATCATGGGGACAAGTTTACTTCCAGGCCTGAAGTGTGGCTAAGAGCTAGGCTCATGGGTTCCAGCAGTCTCTACCTAATCTCTTGCATGATTTTGACTTTTAGTCCACATTTTTCCATTTGGGTTCCCTTTAAAGTCTTTGTCTGCTAACCTTCTAAGAGGTGCTTAGTTTCTGCTTCAAAACTCATTCATTCAAAACTGCTATATTGAACCACCAAGTCACGAGCACATTACCAACAACTTCACTTCCTAGAAGTGGGCTACGACCTACACTTCAGTAGTGATTCCTTCTAAAGCTGATGTATGAGGGCAATGTAATTAACATGCGATTTTCTAATGATAAAAACAGTGCAACGCTGTTAGCAACCACAACCACAAAACTGGAAGATAAAGAACAACCTGAGTGTCTACCTACTCAGGTGACCATTGTGAAGAGCATGACATACATTTCTCCAGACTTCCTTCCAGCCTCGACACCCAACTCAAACCCCAGATATCTGCAGTTTGATGACCCTCCCCCTATTCAACTTCAGGTCAAGTGGTAATGCTTGATGGGGGCTGTTTCTAAAAGGATTTTGTAGTAAAGCAATGGAGATCACCCATGATGAGTACAAAGATGGGCATCTGGGTGAGCACGCCCAGCTCAGTGTTGTCGTGTGCAGTGCGTCAGTCCCACACATGCAGCTGAACCGGGTGCTCTTCTTGCTGGGTTAGCTGAGAGTCTCACTTGCCTGTGGTGCGTGAATCAGGTTCATCTCCAGCAGTCGAGTCTGGAGGTGACCCTCAGCTGGGTGATTATTCTTCAAGGCGTCGAACAAGAAGGAAGTACACAGCTGGATTAAGTTGTTTTCCATGAAAACATCTACAATCTGAAACAGAGAGTAAGCCACATTTACACACACGCACAGCAGGGCTTTATTTCTCTTTTGAAATGGTTGCTAAAATCCAACCTCATTCTGAAACAATTCGCTCCTGGCTTTGTATTTTCTCATGCCATCAACATTCCTGAAATCCATGGCCACAAATGATCTCATGAACTGCCTGAAATGACCTCAGCGCTGGCATTCTTATTGCTAGAGCCCTGTACGAGGGTGGCGTAACTTACGAATCTCTAGAATCCTCTCGAGTGGTCCAAGCAGTCTTTCATAATACACAATGTGTTGGTATTGTTGTGAGGTGCTCTTGACGCCAACCGGAAGCAACTCCATGTGCGACAGAACAAAAGTTGCCTGGTCCTGCACCATCCCCACAATCGGCGGTTCTCAACTTTTGGGTGGCGACCCCTTTGGGGGTTGAATAACCCTTTCATGGGGGTTTCCCGATTCCCAACAGTAGCAAAATGACAGTGATGAAGTAGCCACGAAAATAATTTGATGGTTGGGGGGTCACTACTACATGAGGAACTGTATTAAAGGGTCGCAGCATGAGGAAGGTTGAGAACCACTGCTCTAGCAATCGTTTTGCTGTTGGAATCTGCCACACATTAATAATGTCATAATTTAATCTCTCCTGTGTTGTTTTGTTTCCCTCGGATTTATTTTGACACTCCTGCCATGTCTATCAAATTGTCATGTTTGAGCCCATTGATGTTGCCACGGAGTCAATCCATCCCCTTGGGAATCTTCCTCCTTTTTGATGACCCTGGACCAAGTATGATGTCCTTTTCCAGGAACTGGTCTCCCCTGATTACATGTCCAAAGTATGGTAGACGTAAGTCTAGCCATCCTTGCTTCTAAGGAGCATTTTGGCTGTACTGCTTTCAAGACAGATCTGGTAGTTCTTTTGACCGTCCATGTGCTTTCAATAGTCTTTGCCCACTCTGCCAGAATTCAAATGCACCAACTCTTCTGTGGTCCTCCTTATTCACTGTCCAACTTTTGCACGCACATGGAGAGAGTGACACATGGAGAGAGTGAAATACACGGCCTCTCGCCGCCTCTTCCAGTGTGTGCTGTCACAGTTCTGTCTCTTGGTTTGAGGAGGTTCTAGGTAAGGGGCCCAGGGTCCACGAGACATGCTCCACTCCTGGCTCTTTTCCCTTGATTGTTGTGAGGCTCCTCCCCCCACTCTCTGTCACTGGAATGGAAAAACCAATCCCCATGTTAGGGTTCCATATAACTTATGGGTCTGGTTCCACCCCCACAAGAGTGCTCGGTCTCTTATTTACATCATTGGCAAGTTATTTAATCCTGTAGTAGCCTATAAGCACCTCACATTTGTAGAGTCCCACCCAGTCATTTGGTAGATGTTACAAAGACTATGGCTAGAAGAGCCATATTAAGCAACTCACCACACTGCAAGAATATACACAACGTCACACGCAGAACAAACAATGGTTCTATGCGCACATCCCAGTGTCATTTAATTTCTCAAGCTATGGAATCATTTTCACGTCCCTTTTCTGAGTTGTTCTTTCCATCACATACATTCAGTGCTCTCTGTGGTTCCCATCTAATCGTTCAAGTTTCTACTGTCAATCTGATCCAGTGTAGACTTTTAGAAGAGCACAATGCTCAAAGCAGACATTATTTACCAGTTCAGCTAAACCACTGTTTGGTTATACGACTTCAGGGGCTAATTTTGGTTTCACGTATAAAGATTATCTCAAAGCAACTGTTTCATCTAGTCTCCATGGCTCCAGAAATTTTGTTTCACATTTCCCCCTTTTGATCAAGATTCTCCTGTGCAATCTTTGACTAATGAATTGTAGACTCAGACTGTCAGCGTGGAGAGATGAAATGATGTTTCACAAATCTCCCAATTAATAAGTTATGGAGCCTGATAGGGTAGCAAAATTTAGCAATTAAAAATAGAGGATGCCCAGTTAAATCTGAATATTAGCTTAGCAATAACTTAATTTTGAGTGTTAAGTATGTCCCGTGAGATACTTAACTGGGTGTCATACATTTGCCCTGGCAGCCTTATGGGGTCTTTATGAAAGCCCAGTTCTGGGTGGCAGAACACTATACAACACATTTCTGAACTGCAAGTTCCTGATTTCCAGCAAGAAGGAACACAAAAATGGCCTTAAATGTGAGAGGGTGTAGGGCTCTGTGATTACCAGGGCACAATCGGCCATTGGGCATAGACTGTTTTCACCTATTAAACAGGGTTACAAATAACATTTACTTCAAATAGCTATGGCTGTGTACAAATTAAATGAGCTATGATAGGGCACATGTTCTTGTTGTTAGGTGCCATGAAGTAGATTCTTTAAAAAAAAAATCATTTTATTGGGGCTCATACAACTCATCACAATCCATACATACATCAATTATGTCAAGCACATTTTTACATTCGTTGCCCTCATCATTCTCAAAACATTTGCTCTCCACTTAAACCCATGGTATCAGCTCATTTCCCCCCCTCCTTCCCCGCTGCCCCCTCCCTCATGAACCCTAGATAATTTATAAATTATTATTATTTTGTCATGTCTTACACTGTCTGACATCTCCCTTCACCCACTTTTCTGTTGTCTGTCACCCAGAGAGGACCCTTATAATTGGTTCCAACTTCCTACCCCACCTACCCTCCACCCTCCCGGTATCGCTACTCTCACCACTGGTCCTGAAGGTTTCATCTGTCCTGGATTCCCTGTGTTTCCAGTTCCTATCGGTACCAGTGTATATCCTCTGGTCCAGCCGGATTTATAAGGTAGAATTGTGATCATGATAGTGGCGGGAGGAAGCATTTAAGAATTAGAGGAAAGTTGTATGTTTCATTGTTGCTACACTGCATGCTGACTGGCTCGTCTCCTCCGAGACCCTTCTGTAAGGGGGTGTCTCGTTACCTACAGATGGGCTTTGGGTCTCCACTCTGCACTCCCCCTCATTTACAATGATATGATTTTTTGGTTCTTTGATGCCTGATACCTGATCCCTTTGACACCTCATGGTCACACAGGCTGGTGTGCTTCTTCCATGTGGGCTTTGTTGTTTCTGAGCTAGATGGCTGCTTGTTTATCTTCAAGCCTTTAAGACCCCAGACGCTGTATCTTTTGATAGCTGGGCACCATCAGCCTTCTTCACCACATTTACTTATGCAACCGCGTTGTCTTCAGCGATCATGTTGGGAAGGTGTGCATCATGGAATGCCAATTTTAATAGAACAAAGTGTTCTTGCATTGAGTAAATACTTGAGTGGAGGTCCAATGTCCATCTGCTTCCTTAATACTAAACCTATAAATATATGCACATAGATCTATTTCTTCTATTTCTCCACCATCCTATAAAAATATATTTACATTTGTACATGCTGGTATTTAGGCCTCTATAAATGCCCTTTGCCTCCTAGTTCTTTCCTCTATTTCCTTTTACTTTCCTCTTGTCCTACTATCATGCTCAGCCTGCCATGAAGTGGACTCTTAATGCCATTAAGTGACATTGATGGCCCTGCACTGAATAGGACAATGTGAACTTTTACGAACGATAACAAATATTTGTTCTCGGCATGGTTGTTGTGGTTCACTGTCAGTGCTACTCAAAGATGCCTGGGAATGATTAGTCCATTGCACCAGTGAATCATGGGAACTCCAGCCTCCATGACCCTGGTACTAGAACTGGAGACCATAACTGACTGCTCTGATCATAATCATACAAGAAGGTCCCGGACGTAGAGGGAGCAAAAAAAAAAAAAAAAAAGTACAGCAGAATTAAAAATCTTAAAAAAGACCAGAGCTACTGATCTTTGTGGGAGCTCTGAGATGACAGTTACCTTTCAAGTCTGGAACCGGACCCAGCCCTGGGGCTCAACTTTCAGCCAAACAAGACACAAGCCTATAAAAGGAGTAATCGTGATTGTTCTCCAACCATCAACCACGTGAAACGAAAAGGGTAGCGTTTTCCTGAAAACAAAGCCCAGAAGGCAAGCAGGGTTTGGAAAGAAGGATGGCTAGACGTTGGAAACCGGGGTGGACATGGGGAGGACGCTGTCCAACAAAGGGATTATACCTCCTGGCACAAAGCAAAGTGCGTGTGCCTTATTGAATGGAAAACGAATTTGTTGTGTGAACTTTCACTCAAACCACAATGTTGTTGGCCAGGTCCGTGGAGTGCGTTCTGACTCAGAGCCAGCCTATGTACGACAGAAGGGAACACCGCCCGATCCTCACATTTGCTCTTGAGGTTGAGCCCATTGCTGCAGCCGCTGTGTCAGCCCTTCCTCTGTGTCGCTGCCCCTCTTCTTTACCAAACATGCTGTCCTTCTCCGGGGCAGGTCTCAGGACCCTGACGACAGGTCTGAAGTACGTTAGAAGCAAGTCTTGTCATCCTTGCCTCTAAGGAGCATTCAATCTATACTTCCAAAGATAAGACGGGTTTGTGCTTTTGGCCGTCCAGGGTACTTTTCAATATTTTCACCAACATCGTAATTCAAATGCATCGGTTCTTCTTCGGTCTTCCTTATTCAGGGTCCAACTATTGCAGATCTCTGAGGGGATTATTGAAAATCCCATCGCTTCGGTCTGGCGTACCTGAGTCCTCAAGGTAACATCCTTGATTTTGAACCCTTTAAAGAGGTCTTGTGCAGCAGATTTCCCCGATGTAATGTTTCACATGATCTCTTGACTGCTCCTTCCATGAGCATTGCTTGTGGATCCAAGCAAGAAGAAATACTTGACAACTCCAACCTTTTCTCCACTTATCATGATGTTACCTATGGGTCCAGTTGTGAGGATTTGGGTTACATTGGGCTGTAATTCAATAAAAAGTAAAATAAAAAAAGAATCTTTAATCAAGATGTTTAGTGGGATTCCATGACAAATGAAGCAATTGTTTCTGGAGTAATTAACCACATGTCCTATGTCCTCCTCCTGGTCCTGACATGCCTTCTTCCTCTTGTTCCACAAAGAGATTGTATTAGTCCGGGTGGACTAGAGAAACAAATCCAGAGACACTCTTATGTGTGTATGAGATAACTTTATATCAAAAGGAACTGTACATTAAGAAAACATCCCAGCCCCATCCAGATCAAGTCCTAAAGTCCGATATTACCCCACATGTCGATACCAGTCTATAAATTCCGTTTTAGACTCATGCAGCCATGCAATGATACTGCATGCAGCAAGATCACAGGCTAATGGATGGAAAGTCTTGTGGATCTAGTGGTGGTAGAAGCATCTCAGGACTGGCGGGGGTCTTCATGTGGCTCCTCTAGCTCCAGGGCTCTGGCTCCATCAGCGTAGCTCCATGTGGCTTGTCATCAGGAATACAAAGCAGAGAGAGTGTGTCTGGCCTCCAGTCAGGTATTTATCACCATTGTGACTTCAAATGAGGTCATCAAGCTGTAACCTGATTGACAGGCTAGACTCTGCCCCTTCCTCAAGTTGACAGTAGATTATGTAACTGCCACAGAGATCAACTGCTGTGCCTTGGAAGGATGGCAGGTTGAAAGCTTTTAGGACCTCAGGTACAACCAAAAAGGACCAGGTGTAGAACAGATGCACCAAACATGTTAACTGGGACAGCACATGAAAGCATGCCCTAAACCTCCAAAGCAAGGAACCAAATCCTAAGAGATGTGTGGTGATTCAGGAGGGGGTTTCCCAAAGACAGCAGATGTGCCCCCATGCACTTCAGTTCTTCGCTTTCATAGTTGGGGCTGTTGTAAACATATCTAGCGTACGACTTCTGCCAATTCAACACTTTAAAGTGCACAACTTCTTGATAGCAATTCCATTAACCGGACATGCAAGCCTCCTCGGAATCAATGTGGTTTTCCCATCCCCTTAAAGCCAAACTCAGTATTCCATAGCCATCTCAAGCCTTCTCCCATCCCCATCCCTAAAGGGAATCTTCTGGAGAGCTATGAAAAATCCGAAGCAGTTGCCTCAGAGGACCGGGGCTCACCTGGTCAGTGTTGGTCAGTGGCTCCTCATCCTGCACCAGCAACTGAGCAAACTGTAGCCCCTGCTCCGGATGGCGCATCATCACGCTCCTCAGTAGAAAGATCCAATCTGGCGTAAACCCAACCTAAGCAAGAGACTGCCATCAGGAAAATAAACCCACACCTGATACACTGAGACAAGGAAGTGCCCTCCACCTCCCCCACCCCCCAGTCCCCACCTCTGCTTAGAACCTGTGTTTCTACACAATGGGCTATCGTGATATTGCCATGTTGATGAACCAGACCTCTGTCGAGCACAAGATATCGGATTCAATGTAGTCACTCCATGGATGTGAAAACCACAAACCCACTGCCATTAGGTTGATTTCAAGTCATAGCAACTTTATAGATCTTCACAGGGCACCGAGCTGCATCTCTCCACTGTGGGGGGGTTTGAATCACCGACCTTGTCGTTCTCAGCCTCACACCTCACCCAAGTGTCATCGGGCTTCCTTATGTGTGTATATAGCCCGCTGCTGTTGAACGTATGCCAATTCAGAAAACCCAAACCCACTGTCATGGAGTTAATGTCAACGCACACTGGTTCTGGAATAGTGTCTCTGAAGCTGTGAATTTCTGTGAGAGCAAACAGCCTCATCTTTCTCCAGAGAAGTCTGGTGGGTTTGAACCGCCAGCCTTGTCGTGAGCGTCCCAATGCCTAGCCCACAGTGCCATCTGGGTTCTCTATGCATATATATATATATCCCAATGCATTGAATTGATTCCGACTCATAGCCACCCGACCTAGGGTTTTCAAGACTGTCCATTTTTATAGGGCAGACAGGCTAATCTTTCCTCTGTTGGTGGGTTTGAATTGGTGACCTTGTGGCTAGTGACCAGTGCCCAACCCACAGCACCATTAGGGACCCTTCCATGTATACCAAGGGGCAGTTAAATATGTAGGGCAGCCTGGGCCACAGACAGACATCCCGACCAATGCGCCACTTCTGGCCAACACACACAATGCACAGCCAGCCAGCCAGCCTTTGAGGACAGACAAGTTCTCCCAAATGCCCAATGAATAGCAGGAAGGGTGCTGAGGGAGGAAAAAGAAAAAGGGAGAGGAAGAACAAGATGAAACTACAGGAAGGCCTCTGACTGTTAGAGAAGTGGCAGGGCTGTCAAAATAGATCCGAGGGAAAGAAAACAAAACACCGGAGAGATTGAATTATGACATTATTAATGTGTGGTAGATTCTAACAGCAAAACGATTGCCCTGTCACACTAGAGGGCTTCCACAGTGCAGCTGCGAGGGCATACCATCCATACAAGGCCATTTTTACAAATGTCAGAATGGTACCAGCCACCATCCAACCACATGTCGGTGATCTCCGAAATGCCAATGGCGAAACGTGCATTTACCTTTTTGGTGTAGAGGACAAGGTTCTGGAATTGGCCCGTCTCTGCAAAACACTGGACAACTTTGCCGGGCACATTTGCCCGAAGGTACACGCTCAGTGCAAGTGTCGGGGCAGTGGTTTTGACCAAATCGCCAAGCTCTTCCGAACAGTCCAGCTGTGGAGGCCAAAGGACGAGGCAAGATGAAGACCAGAGGAGTACGTTTCAAACCGCGGTCGGGATGAGGAAGGCGGGGAGAGCGGGGATCAGAACGCAAACCAAGCCCACTGCTGTTGAGTTCATTCTGGCTCAGGGAGACCCATGGGTTCCGCAGAACCCTGCTCCCATCCCAGAGCCTCAAGGCTGTGACCTTTTAGAAGCAGATCATCACACCTGTCTTCTACGGCACCTCTGGGTAGGTTTGAACTGCCAACCTTTTAGTTAATCGTCCAGCACTTAACTGTGTTCACCCCCAGGGACCTAACAACCACACCCCACCCCTGGCACATTGCCCTGGCTTTTTTCATGACCCTAATTGCAAGCCAATGCCATCGGGGAGGATATAGTTAGGTTAAAATGTAATACCTTCTCGCTAGATTTCCCCTTTGACCCATTTTTAAAGTTGTTTCAGGTTTTAGTCTTTTCTGCTTTTGCTTTGATTGAGGGTTTTCTACATTTTGTGCAATCGTTGTTGTTGCTGTTTTGGTCTGTTTATTTGCTTTGTATGACTGTTTAGTTTTGTAGGATTTTCTGTATATGAAATGCAGGATAGAGACAGGAACTGGGTGGAGGGATAGCAGGGGAGGATGCGGGTGGGGAACGGGGAACCAACAACCATGAGTGGAAAAAGAAAATGTTTTGAAATTGAACATAGTCATGATTGTACCAATCTTCTTAATATTGCTGAACAGTTACATTGTATGATGTGGAAGGCCAGGCCAATACAGCTACTAGAGCAAACAACCAACCCAATGTCACTGAGTTGATTCCAACGCATGGTGAACCCATAAGACAGGGTAGAGCTGCCCCCTAGGGGTTCGAGGTGGTTAATCTTTCTGGAAGTGACTAGTTTCGTCTTTCTCCCATGGAGTGACTGATGGGTTTAATAAACCAGCCTTACAACGAGTAGTCCAACACTTAACCCACTACACTGTGAGGGCTCCTGACAGTGGGGATCACAACAACAGCAAACACCCAAACACAATGACATCAAGTCAATTTCAACCTTGTGGTTAGCAGCAAAATGTGCGGCCCACTAGGCCACCAAGGTGCCTTCAGAGTGGGGGGCAGAAGCTATCGATTCACAAATCTCGTACCTTCTCTTCTTTCAGCCACTTTTCCAAGAGCTGTGTGCGCCCCTGCTGAAGAATGGGGCGGCAGAGTTCTATGGACTCGTATTTATTGAGCTGACCACGGTCAAGCAGGATTGCAAAGTACCGGAGCAAAGGCGAAGCCTGCCCAGGCTGGGCAGGTAGACTCTGGAACTTCAACAGTGTGTCACTGGTACGCAGCACTCCCTGGGTGAGAAACGCAAGTTCGGGTAGTCAGGTGGTCAGCTGTGGTAGTTACATAATCTGGTGTCAATTTGGGACTTGAGAGGATGAAGAGTGAAGGCGTGGAGTCTAGCCTGTCAATTAGATCATAACCAATGAGGGCTATGTGGGCATGGCCTTCTCCTTGAGGATTCTGGGAACTCTTATAATTCCTCCTTGGAGGCAGGAGACACACTCTCTCTGCTCACTCTCTGTGAGACATTCCTGTTGAGAAGACACATGGAGCTATGCTAGAGCTCTGGAGCTGAAGGAGCCACGTGGAGACCCCTGCCAACACTGAGATGCTCACAATCACCACTGGATTCACAAGACGTCCCACCCACTACCCTGTGATCTTCCTGCATTTGGCGTCACTGCATGTGTTTTGTGAGTCTGAAGAGACCTTTATAGATGGGTATTGGACATATGGGCTAATATCGGACTTAAGGACTTGATGTGGACTGGGCTGGGATGTTTTCTCAAGATTCAATTGCTCTTGTATACAAAACTTTTGTACTCACGAGTGTCTATAATTTTTTTTTCTTTAGTCTACCCAAACTAACACCTCCTCTCAGGTTCTGTTTACAAAACTGACTTGTATCAGAAAACCTCTGCCAAGAGAGATTCCATACTGAATCGCCAAAGCTCTTCTACCAGGCTAACTACTTTTACCTCCGGTTATGACAGGCACACAGCCAGTGAGGCATCAACTTGGGCTGTCACACACCACGCCACACCACACCCCACACCCAACCCACTGTCCTCAGTTGATTCTCACTTACAGTTACCCTATAGAGCAGCGTAGGACTGCCCCACAGGGTTTCTGAGGCTGTGAATCTTTATGGAAGCAGGCCGCATCTTGCTCCTTGGGAGCAGCTGTTGGTTTGAACCACTGACCTTGTGGTGAACAGGCGAGTGCTTCACCCACAGCACCACCAGGGATGCTTCTAAAAAACCGGTCATTGAGTCCATTGTGACCCATCATGACTCTATGGGGCACAGAAGAGCTGTTCCTGTGGCTTTCTGAGGCTATAAATCTTTACAAGAGCAGAAAGCTTCATTTTTCTCCCTTGGGAGTAGCTGGCGAGTTCAGATTGCTGACCTTATGCCTAGCAGCCTATTGTGTGACCCATTATGCCATCAGGGCTTTATTCTAAAATACAATAAAATAGTAGAAAAGAAAATAGTATCCTATAATATAGTATATTCATTGCAAGGGATAGCTTCTGACTCATAGTGGTCCCACAGAACAGAGAAGAACTGCTCCATTGCGTTTCTAAGGCTGTCACTCTTCATACCGTTTCCCTGAAAGTAAGACATCCCCTGAAAATAAGACCTACCTAAAGTTTTGCCTCTCGCTGAAATATAAGGCATCCCCCCAAAGATAAGCCCCCCTGAAGCTACCATAACTCTAGACAATGGACCGTAGTGGCAGGCGCCACCACACAGCTCACTGTTGGCTGCAGTACAGCCGGAGCAGACAGGAAGTGCGAGGTCTCTTTTAATAAAACAATAAACAATAAATGTGTACCATATTCTTCTTCATGGAAAAATAAGACCTAGCGCATCTTTGGGAGCAAAAATATAAGACACTGTCTTACTTTCGGGGAAACGGTAGCAGAGATAGCCTCAACTTTCTCCCACTCAATGGCTCAAACAAAACACACGTTCGCTGCCATTAAGTTAATTCTGACTCATGGCCACCCTGTAGTACAGGGTAGAACTGCCCCTGTGGGTTTCCATGACTGTAACTCCTTACAGGAATAGGAAACCTCATCTTTCCCCCCACGGAGTAGCTGGTGGCTTCATACTGCTGACCTTGTGGTTAGCAGCCCAACTTGTAACCCCTTAGGCTACCAAGGGTTCAAACGGCTGGTCTTTTGGTGAGCAGCCCAATGGCTAACCCAGTGAGCCACGAGGGCGTTTACCTTCAGACTCAGGGTCTTATTTCTTGCTTAGCAAACTGGCCTGACCAGTAGGCTTCTAAACTGGTCTGGTAGTAGTAGAGTTCTATCATCATTACATTCTAATTCAAAATACTCAAAGGCCCAAAGACTAGATATAGTTTTTCCCTAGTCATCATTTAAGATAGCAAACTCTCTCCCCAGGAGGAACAATGTAAAGGTCTAGCTACTCACAAGGTGATCTAGTCCTAGGATGACTTACTCAAATGGCTTAAACCACAGAAAGGCTGGAAGAAATACTATACATTCCATTTGGTGTGAATTAGGTAAAGGCTGACAAAGCAGACCAATTTTCCATTCAACAGTTCCTTTGTATTTTGGTTCATCTCATTCATTGTCACCCCACAATGTGCCACCACTTCTCCCACCTCCTCCCTGAAGAATGTGAAAAAGTCCAGAGTAGGAATATGGTTAAACAAAAGGGGAGACAACCGTTAGCTGGATTAAGGAATAACACATTTGGCAGATAAGCAGCACCAGTGTAAAATTCACAAGTCATCAAAACATAAAATTATTCTTAAGCTAGGGGGTATGCTTAAGACTGGGGTCTGCACCCAGACAGGAAGGAATGGTGCAACAGGACTGTGTGGATTTTGCTTATTTGCTTCCATTTCTGACGTGCCATTTGTTGGTAAACCACTGCCATCAAGTCAATTCTGACTCATATGGAGTTGGTACAACATACTGGGGTAGTTAGATGAATTTATGTGAACTTGAAGATGTAGGAAAGTATAGGGGTGGAATTCCACCTGTCAATCAGGTCACAGCCTGATGATGCCCCTTGGGGTGTGCCTTTTTTAATATAAACTGGGGGTGCAGTGGGGACAGGAAACTGAGAATCTTCCTCTCTATAACACTTCACCTTCCTGCCTACAAGGAACCTGCTTACCTTGAAGGGCAGGCCCCCTGTGGGCTGTCCAGCCCTGAAAACTGTCTGCACCCTGCCGGGTGTCCACTGACCTTGAATCCATGCAAGTCTGCACCCAATGGCCCAATTTACCTTTCTGCGTCACAAGCCTGCAGCTACATGAGTCTGAAGAGGGCCCTGGCTTGCATCGGACTCATGAACTTGAGTTGGATTGGGCTGGGATGTCTTCTTTGGATATAAGATCACTTGTTGATATAAAGCTCTTTCTTAGGGGGAAGCGATAACAAGGATCTACATATAACCCTCTCCCATGGGGAACGGACAACAGAAAAGTGGGTGAAGGGAGACATCGGTCAGTAAACGACATGAAAAAATAATAATAATTTATAAATTATCAAGGCTTCGTGAGGGAGGGGGGATGGGGGAGGGAGGGGAAAGAATGAGAAGCTGATACCAGGGGCTCAAGTAGAAAGAAAATGATAATGGCAACAGATGTACAAATGTGCTTGACACAATAGATGGATGGATGGATTGTGATAAGAGTTGTATAAGTCCCCAATAAAATCATTTGACAAAGTAATAATAATAATAAATACTCATGTAAAAAATAAAGCTTTCTAATACATATACGAGTGTCACTGGATTTGTTTCTCTAGTCAACAACATATTAAAGTTGCAAAAAAACCTCACAGAACACCCACTCTCTCCTATTCAGTGGAATGCTTTGGTGACTTACTTCACACCCATGTTGGCCCAGCAGAGTGCAGAGTCCTGCCGGTATTCTGAGTGTCATTACCTTTGGTGCACATGCAGCCACTCTGGCGGCCTCAGTGTAGCTCCCCTGTGCAAAGAGGGTGCTGAATTTTCTGGCAAACAACTCCTCGGCCCCAGGCAGATTACCACGTGAGGCCAAGCGCATCCCGAGATCTGGATTCTGAAGCGCGTTGGCTGTATAATTCACAACGTTGTCTTCATCTATGCACACTGAGAGGACCTGTAAGGACAGGACACGGGAGACGGGATGGACTTGGGAAAGAGTCTGTAAAGACCCACTGTCACAGTCCACTCTTGACAGGATGGCTTCGTCGATTGAGCTGGGTGCCTTACGATGTTGATCTCTAAAGGGAAGCATGTGTAAGAGTCCAAAGCTGAACAAAGTTAACAAAGGTGACCGTGTCAGCACAGCTGGTGCGAGGGATTCAACCCACCCAAACCCAATGTTGGTGAGTCAGTTCTAAGGTTTATCGTTGCTCTATGTGGCAGGGCAGGACTGCTCCTTAAGGTTTCCAGGACTGTGAATCTTTACCAAACGATGAGCAGACAGCCTCTTCTTTTCCCCTTGAAACAGCTGGTAGGCTCAAACCACTGACTGTGTGCTTAGCTGTCTAATTCTTAACCCACTATAACACCAGGGCTCCTACGGGATTTTACATTCAACAAGCAAAACAACCAGACTGATTGCTGTCGCGCCCATGCTGACTCATAGCAGCTCTTTAGGTCAGGGCAGAACTGCCCCTGTGAGTTTCTGAGACCGTACCAATCTTGCTGGAGTAGAAAGCCTTGTCCTTTCTCAGGCAGTGGCTGGTGGTTTCAACCTGCTGATCTTGCAGTTATCAGCCAGATGCGTAACTGCTATGCCACCCGAATTTCACGTCAGTGTTAAAAAGATGGAAACAATCTCCAGTGAGATGGTGGCAAAGCTGTATGGACGCCAACCACAGCCATCCACTGAGAACAACAATGCAAAGATGGCCCATTTGTCCTGAAGGGATCATCCGCCCTGGATTCCCTGTTTCCAGTTCCTGTCTGTACCAGTGTACATCCTCTGGTCTAGCCAGATTTGCAAGGTATATATGAAATCCAAGACGGGTAGAGCTGTAGAGACAGTGACTGCATGGACTGTTTCCTGGGGGGTTAAGCGGGTGAAGTTGTGGAAGGTGGACAGCTGGTAACAATGAGTACAAGAAAGAAGTAAATGTTCTAAAATTGATTGTACAATTCTCTTTAATGTGACTGAACGGTTGCATTGGATGATATGTGAAATATATGCCAATAAAACTCTTTAAAAAAAGAATTAAGGGGCGGTGCTGTGGGTTAGGCATTGGGCTACGAACTGCAGGGTTGGAAGTTCAAACCCACCAGCCACTCCACAGGAGGAAGATGACGCAATCTGCTCCCACAAAGACTGACAGTCTCAGAAACGCCCATCTAGGGTACCTATGAGTCGGAACTGACGCGATGGCAATGGGTTTGGTTGGGGACATGGGGAGGTGAACGTTTAATCACAAGGGCTAATTATACCTAATTGCATTCCCGGTGAAGGGAGATATTTTAAGCATACTTGACTCTCAATGTTACTACCCCCAAAACTTGCTGCCATTGAATGGGTTCCAACTCACAGCCACTAGGAGGACAGAGCATAACTGTCCCACGGGGCTTCAGAGGCTGGGTCTTTACCAAAGTAGGTAGCCTCATCGTCCTTCTGTGGAGTGGGTGGTGGGTCTGAATTGACGACCTCCAGGTGAGCTTAACCCACAGTGCCACCAAGGTGTGCTTTCCTGTTACATACCTGTCCCTTCTTGTTGACACCAATGACACCAGAAGTCGTTTCGTGAGGAGTGGTTACAAAGACGGTGTCCGCGCTAATACGATTCATGTAGACACACTCACCAGACTCTAGGTCGTACAGATGAACGTAGCCAAACTTTGTGATCAAGTAAACAATCCCGTGCTTCGCGCCTATCTGTGGGAAGATAGCACCGGGTCAGAGAAGCAGGGAGAAACCAAATGTGACAAAACCACAGGCTGAACCTCACTGCTGTCAATTCCCATTCAGAGGATAGGCCCCGCAGGACAGAGTACAGGCCCCGCAGGACAGAGTACAGGCCCCGCAGGACAGAGTACAGGCCCCGCAGGACAGAGTACAGGCCCCGCAGGATAGAGTACAGGCCCCGCAGGACAGAGTACAGGCCCCGCAGGACAGAGTACAGGCCCCGCAGG